TAATCATCTTCGATGGCAGTTTTGGTGAAAACTTGTTGCTGTGGCTGCAGCCTCGGTGCAGGTGTTATGATTCTCGGAATCTTAGGCCTGGTAAGTTCCAGCAGCTATTAATCGCTTTTCACACCCTAGTAATGATAGTACCTGGTTTAACGATTTTCGCTATTTCGTACAAATCGCGAACTTTAAGTTCCGGGAAAGTTATACTCAGAGCAAAAATTAGCCACGCGGAATTTTGTTACGTCGCGTTGACTGATCAGACGAATATTAAGACATAATTCCCAAAATGCTTTTCTCTGCTCTATAACGGCTATATTTTTACCAGTAAAATGTCGTAAAAAATAATTTGTCAACGTCAACGCAGAGACATATGCGCATTCTGAATTTTCAGGACTACTGAACAACTCAGTGCAAACTTCATAACTTTTCAGTATTCGGTCAAAAACGGGCATTCTAGAATAAATTGTTTCACGGTAAAATTAGATGTTGCAGCTGCAACTGATACTCTGAAGTAAGGAAATGATACTCTCTGGTGACCTACTGATAAAGAAAAGAAGCCGGACAAACTTCAGACTTCAACAGCATTCGAAGGTGTAGCTCTCAGATACTAGTCATTCGCCGCCATCACCTGAGCTACGAAACTTCATGAATGGAGCGAGACAAATTCTATCGGGTTCTTCGTTCCTTTCAAGGAATCTGATTTTATAATAGAAATAATATTTTGATCTTAGGATGGTATTGAAGTAAAGACTCGATCAATGCAGGTGAGCTGTAACTAAAGAAATTGAAGTACGGAAGACCTCGTGGCTGGAATGACGCGGCCTTTCGTTTCGGCCAATAGACTTTATCGGATAACTTTAGGAATTTTTGAAGCCAACTCGTTGCACTTCGCGCTCACAGTTCGAGAATTCAAGATGTTCCTCAATAACAGAAGGATTTTCAACCGCAGTTTTACTAATTACAATTTTTTCAAAAATCATAAGAGAAGAAGCCGGAAAAATGAAACCACACACTATTCGAACGTAGCACTTTCAGCTGGGTTCCCCTTCAACTGTGCAATGAAATAACATGTTCTGGAAGCGTAATCATAGAGAATAACACATAGGCGCGCTTAGATACGGAATTTCTCTTTGAGTGTTCAACTCGAGTGAGATATCGATTTGAACACTCAAAGAGAAATTCCATATCTGGAAGCAACTATGTAATATTTTCTTTATCATATAAACACAATAGCCCCTCACTGACAAGACAAGTCGACTTAATTGACGATTCGACAATCCCTGACTAAAAATTGTAAAGTGAGTTTGCGCTTAAGCTGAAGATGAAAAATGCTTTGAATCAGTATAAAAACAACAATGGGCCTAATTTTAATACACAAAATTCTCAGTTACCGACTTTGTCCTTAGCGACAGAAGAAATCTTTAAGGTCAACGACCAAAAGCGGCCTGTGGCAAATATTCCAGTTGTCGATTTTCATTCTCAGCCGCGAGAAATACCAGTATAAAAGTCACTGAATACGTAACTTTCGGTTTTTCTCTTCATATTTTGGTTTTCTCCCCTTCTAAGAAAGTTTGAACGTCACTGTCGGTAAGCGGTGCGAATTTTTCAGCGTTTTAGCAGCCACAATCCGAGAATATTCCGACAAACAACCACGGCGGACATTGAATGATGAAAGCTTTGCTGCTCATTCATCAACCTAACCGAGTGGCGCGAATAACGTGTTAGCAGCTGACTGGCGGTATCAAACACACATGAATAAATATCGTATTTTTTCACGTGCGTTGTTACGGCTTTTTTTCGGGGCTGGAAATGCTTGCACAACACCGTAGTTTATATGATAAAATGATCTATTGCATGTGGGAGGCATGAGTTCCAGTTCCTTTTTAATATGTTTCCCTTCAATCTTTTTAACTAACGCCTAATTACAAGCATCGTTTCTGTATTTGAATATCATTTTAGTGTTCGCTTTGCTCAAACCGAAAGCAGGAGCTATTGGATGTCACTGATCTTTTTTTTATTATTTGTCACACACCGCGTGAAAATTGTGTGACAAAGAATTACGTCATGAAAAGGGAATTGGCCAAGCCTTGGGAATCGTGACTTAGATAGTTATCTGGAGGGGCATATTTCGGGTGAACAGTACCAGTTTATCACTCAGTCGCTTAAGAAAAGTCTATGTGACAGAAGGAAATAATTGAATGTATCATTTTATCTTGCTGTTTTTTTGTTTCCTTGTGCCTGAGGGAGGAAATGTTAAGAGCTCAAATTGATCGGCGCACAAATATTTTCAGTCCAACTGTGTTTTTATGTTTGAAACATAACCTCTTCCTTACTCGTCACAAATAACTAAAATTATTTTGTAATTCAAACATTTGCACGTTTTTCTGGTGAATTCAAAAGAGAGCAATCTGTATTTACTGTGGTATATCAAATCTGATCTGTAGTTGCATTTCTTTTTTTCATTTCAGTTTGCATCAGCTTATTCAATTTATCAAAACAGTCAGTCAATCAAAGTTAACTTGAAGCATATAGAGGAGAACGCTGACGAAATCAGCCAGGATTTACATTTCAACAAAAAGGATTTCCTAGGTATTAAGGTTTACTTTTGTCTTGTTCCGTAAAATCTGTTATAAAGAACACGTGTTTAGCTAGGATGAAAATATTTCCATTGGTGAGATTATACGTAAAATTGTGTGGGGCTTCTTTAGTGACTCCAATATTTATTTTACATCGGTTCGTGATCTTGTGTGAAAATGAAAGTTCCACCAATAATTTTTAGAAATGTTCAAACCTTTTTCTGCAAAACAAACCGTCCCAGTCAGACAAGGTTCTCTCTCATTTTTTGATTATCTTCTCACTGATTAATTGATTAATGCACTTTTTTTTTTAACGATCATCTCTAAATATAGTGATCGTGAGATTGGCATATGTTTCCCTGGTATTCGGAGTCATCTCACTGTTGGTGAACCTGTTGCTACTGGGATCCTGTTGCTCAGTAAGTCCAACACACTAAGAACGTAATTTTAGCACCTAACTTAAAAAGATTTGAGAAGATTAAACATTATGATAAAATTTGTCTCAGAGGTACACAATAATTCTTCTTTTAGAAATTTAAAACTAGCCGGTATATTGGGCAACGAAAATGGCTTTCCTAGCCAAAATTTCATTAATTAAGGTTTTGCTTCGCTAAATAGTTTTTGTAAGTTTGTTTGTTTTTTCTTTCATTTTTATGCATTAGATAAACAATAGTCTCTATTTGGCGCAAAAATATGCACGGATACTTGTCAGTAAACATAATCTCTTCCGTGAGGGAAACCGTGAGCCTCGAGGGACAGATAATTCCAAGGATATATGTACGAGCAACGGAGGCAGTTGTGTTTATTATCTTTAAAGTCGTTTTTGCAACTTTCAACGCACGGGAAAATGTTTACGAGCAATTTGCTGTTTGCTGCGTGAGATGTTCACTTTTCAATGCTCTTTGGTACGACTTTATGAACAAACAAACCTCTCGTCTTGTAACAATACCTAAACACTCTTTCGTCTTGAATTTAATTATGAATGAACGCCTTCATAGTCGTTGATGTATGGTTTGAAAAATGGGGAGTATTACGATAATATGATGTGTTTGAACCAATCGCGCGGCAGAAAAGCTTTGATAGTGTATTCGAATGATTATCTCACATTAATTCAACACTTAAAAAAAAAAAATGGAAAAATGTTTATATGACAGCAAAACACAAATCGTCAAATTTGCGGTTTTCGCTTTAAATTACCGATTTTTCGTTTTGAATCGACCCAAACAGTCGCAGCTTAAAGCGCTGACTTTTATTTATTTATTTATTTGTAAGTTTACGTCACTGGTCATCGTTCTTTTTCGTCGCAGGGTG